TTGTATTGACTTCCATTCATTTTTGTAACTGTATTTATGCCTAACCCAGACATTTTCCCCAAAGTTAACCAGTACTGGTCTGTAGTTAACACTAACCAGTACTGGTCTATAGTTAACACWAACCTGAACCARAACTTAATTCACTCCATACCTCTAAACCTAACTAGTGAAGCACAGCAGATCTGCGAACAAAGTGAGGACGTTAAAGAGGTCCTCACTTCACTTTGTTGATTAAAAACCTAACATGGTCCTCACTCTGTAGGCAAAACAAGTACACACACACACTCTGAACTTCATATGTGGTGATTTTACTTTTTAATACCCAATAAAATTACTTTTTCATTTTCAGAACAGAAACTGTTACATTAACATCAACATTTATAACCTCGATGAAAAATTACAAATTTTTGAATAGTTTTAACATGTTAAATTAAATCAGATTAATTAAAAATAACGGCTTCATCCTAAAAGTCCTCAGCATTTCTAGAAACATGTCTTGATGTTTTAAGATAAGATGTCTCATGGAGCAACAGCGCCACCTTGTGACATTTAACTGTTGTGATGACAAATAGTGACATTTTTTAGCAAAACTGATGAGCTTAAAAAAGAAAAGTCTAAAAAAACATTTTYTTAGTTATTGAAGTTTTAAAATAAATAGTTCAGTTTGTTGTTTTTGCTGCATTTCAGCCTCTGAAAAACAAACTGGTTTCAATTTTCCAGCACGGTGACGTCGGCCGTTTTCACCGTGGGAGACAATGTGGTGTCCGGCAGCGACGATCGGACCGTCAAAGTGTGGGACCTGAAGAACATGAGGTCGCCCATCGCAACCATCCGCACCGACTCCGCCGTCAACAGGTCTGAAAAGCTACAGTCAGCCCTGGATAAAAGAAAAAGAGCTAACGTCTTAAATTATTCATCACTTTCTACAGAAAACACAACAAATAACTGTTTTTCTTGATTGACAGTTAAAAATGCTGAAAAACACCATTAAGAAATAAAAGACATTTATAATAAAAACTGCTAAAAAAATGCCTCATATTTTTACATTAAAATGTTTTATATTAATAAGCATATTTTTAAAGAACATTGGGCCTCATGCAAGAACATGTTCGTATTCTTCTCCTAAATTTCTCTTACTTTTGTTCGTACAAAGGGTTCGTACGAACATGTCACGTCAGATTCAACAAACTCTTCTATCCTCAGGAAACGTGCGTAAATGAGCTGCGTAAATTCCATTCTATCCAGCTGTTCGTGCACGAGGAGAGGAGATTAGCATAATTACCACCCCAAAAAATCCATATAAGGCTGTGTTTCCTGCCTCAGAT